CAAGCGGGCCTGGCCTAGGGAGGATTTTTTAATTGGGTTTTTTAGAAATTTTAATCACCACAACACTAAAATATTGGTTTTAATTTGGTTTTATTCGGTGGGGTGTGTGGGTCTTTCTTTGTCTTTTAAATAATGTTGTGAGCCGCCCTGAGTCCTTCGGGAGAAGGGCGGGATATAAATTGAAATAATAAATAAATAAATAAATAAATATTGCTAGTCCCTGAATCTTGGTTGCTTGCAGATATTTCGATACCCTACTACTATGTAGCATCATCAGTGTGACTAAATGTGGGGTTTCCTGTCTGTTTATAAGTAGTAGTTTTCCCTGCCAGCAAACTTCACACTGACAGTGATGATGCTATTTAGTTGTATAATGAAATATCTGCAAACAAACATCCAAGCTCAGAGAACATCAAGAACCTCACAACATCTTCATTATTTTCTAGGGATTCAACGTGGATTAGGAAATGGAGAGGCACTGCACTGAAGCAGTAGTCACTCTCTCATCCCAGACTACTTCACAGACCTGTTGTTATGAAAAGCCCTTATTTTATAATAAGCAACCTATATCTCTTGAAAAGTTTCAGAAGCACTAAAATAAATAAAAAAAGATTGAAGTATCAAAAGCACTTGAATATAACCCTGGCTCTTTACACCTCTCCAAGAACTAAAACAATAGGCTTCAAATATCAATCCAGGCCTTTTCATTCACAGACTTGTTCTAATTCTTTATTTAATTTATAATTAAACAGAACTCAAGAAGTTCTACTTCTTTCAGTCCCTTTCGGGGACATAATTGCCTTCAAGAAAAACAAATTCATCTGCATTTCCCTTTGCTAAGGCTGTCATAATGGTTTTGGCAGAAGACAACTGCCTTGCCTTACCTCCAGGTAGACCAGGAACTGGTTCCAGTTTTAGACCAGATTCTGTAATCCCTTCTCGTTCCTTCTCTTTCCCCCTCGCTGCTTGAGATCTGAGATCCAGGAAAAGATGCCATAATTATGATCGATTGGCAAGTTAGACATACTGAACTTCAAAGTTTAGAATTGTACTGGAGGGAAAGAGTGGAATAAAAATGTATATTGCTTTCCCTTTTTTTCCCCCCGACTACTTACCTGCCCCACTTCACATTAAGCCTACGGCCATTCACAATGAGTTTGTTGAAGGATTTTTCTGCTGCTACTTCAGCAGCTTGTCGGGTAGCAAACTGGATAAATGCACACTGCTGCCTCTGGACCACTGTTATTGTCCGAATCTCACCAAACTGATAGAAGTGATTCCTGAAGGGGAAACATTCTGACACTGTAACACATGGTCTCTCTCACACACCTATGTCACACCAAACTGAATTGGTTTTATAGCCAATAAAGTTTGCCTCTAAACAGTTCGCCAATTAATTATATTATTTTAATGCTATTTAAAATTCTAAAAAAAATCTTCAATCTGAAACAATTCGTAAGAGCCCTTGTTACTATAAATATATGTATACTAGCTGTACCCGGCCACGCATTGCTGTGGCTCAGTCTGGTTAAATGGAAAAGAAAGAAGAAAGGGCACGTTTATAATGTTTAATTTCACAATCTAGCGTGTTTGCTTTTATGTCCAACAGATGGCGCTGTTTTTCAAAAAAAGCATGTTTTTACCTGTCACAGGTGTGACATCTATATAATAGTAGGTATAAAAACACGTGCGTATTCGAATGCAACGTTGTGTCAAAATTTCAAAGCAATCGGTGAAGAACTTTCGGAGATTTAAGATTTTGAACAAACGAACATTTACATTTTTATTTATATATAGTACAATCATTTATAATTTGCTAATATTGCCAAAGAAACATTAGTAAACAGAATAGCAAGATGCTGACATAACTTTAACTGCTATCTTATTTAAAAAGCCTTCATTTGGCATCCCTTCTCATTGCCACTATTGGCTTGTATTATTTGTAAACAAGAAGACATGTAAAAATGAGAAACATCTTCTCAAAAAAAAACAACATTCTATATTGACTCAGAGATGTGCCAGTTTATTATATGGGGGAAAAAATCAAGGGTGGGATATAGAATTTCTTGCATCGACTCAAGCATGAGAATGCCATAAAAAAAATTAATAGCTATCAAATGTACATAAAGGCTAAAAAAATGAAGCCTTGAGAAGCAAATTATGTATGCTGGTATCTATTACTGCCCATACACTTTTGACCGAACCTGGAAGAATCTCTTGACAATCTCAAAGAAACAGTTATATCACTAACAAGAAAGGAGGCAACAATAGGAATATACCTAAGGTCAGACTCAGTGATAGTATCGCCCAGACCACCGACATACAGTGTGGTAATTGTCTTGTCATCAGGGGGGTCCAGACGAGGCATTGTAGAAGCTCGCTTGAGGAGCTTGTCAGCCACAGGATCATTTATACCATAGTAGCGATCTTTAATGTTCTGATCTGCAAGAGGATCATCTGGATCTGTAGGTTTT